AATGGCTGCATGGGGGACGTGGCACGTCAAATGGGTTGTTTAACAGGCAGTTCCTTGCTTGCAGCAGCATGGGACAGCCGGGAAGGAGGAAGAGGCCTGCTCTGATGTGCTGGGGATGAGCGGCTGCCGTGCCCCTGCAATTAAGAGGCAGGCAACCCTCCCCACCCCCACCCCCCCACACACACCAGGCAATGCTGAAGGATGCCATTTGCTTTCCCTCCTGCACAGCTTCAGGCAATCTGAGTGCAGAGATGTGTGCGCTTGCCAGCTTAACTACCAATATGCCTGTTTGGCTTCACTTAAGCTTCTCTGCTCTAGCCTGCAGAGACAGACAGCCATGGGGTTTCCTTCTGCCTCGTCCGCCTATTTAATGGGAGACCCTTTTCTAGAAGGGAGGTGGTGCGGGGTGGGGAACCAGGCAGCCAGCTTCTCTCTCTCCTCCCAATCCAGCATACATCTCACGGAGCCCTCTCACACCCAGCCCATTTCCGCCCACTCCACCAGCCCATTGTGACTTGCCCTGCCTGCCTCCTGCCTGCCAGTATGGAGCGGAAATGGCAGGTAGCCAATTAAGTTACCTATTGAAGTAGCTGCTGGCCCACCGGAATGCCTGTTTCTCCACTGCAGCAGATGCTAAGTGTTTTGTTGCCATGGCTGCGAGTCCAGAAGATCTGAAAGCCACGTGCAGTCATTTCCTTCCTCCAGGGAAGAGACTCTGCTGGCCTTCAGTAGATGCTTTAGGCCAAGGGTGGAGAACTGCAGGCCTGGGGGATGAACGTGGCCCTTGTGGGGACAGGGGAGGCCCAGAGGGCCCAGCCCCTTCCCTTGGCCTCACCCTCCTGGCTCTGGCCAGCAGCAGGGTTAGGAGGCAGCCCACTAGGCCCGCAGCTCCTAATCTTTTGTCTGGGGCCCTCCAGCTCTGGGAGATTCTGCCCCACCACCTGCTGCCCACAGGCACTTTCTGGAAGAAAGGTGCAAGGGTCTGGAGGATCCCTGCTGCATCCTGGCCCTCTGCATTAGCTGGCTCTTTGCCCATGGCTTGGGTCATGTGGGAGTTTCTGGCACTCCTGCAGTTTCTTCCCCACTCCAAAGGGCTGACATGCCTCTCCTAAGGTGCAGCTGCTGGCTGCAAGAGCCTGAGGGCAGCAAGGACACACTGCTGGGGCAAGGCTAGGAAAGGGCACCACCGAGACCAGCAGCTGTGCAGAAGGCATCACCGCTTTTGAGCTGGCTGGGAGCACTTCAGACCACCCAGCCCGTGCCGAGGCATCCCCCACAGAGCCCCTGCATCACCATGAGGCCTCCGGAGCGAATCCCTGTTTCTGTGCTGGGACGGTCAGAGGAAGCTCTCTTGTACAATGCTTGGTTTCCAACAGCACTTTCCCAAGCAAGTCCGCAGGAAGCAGCCCTGCCTGGGCCAGCCAGAAAAAACTGGCTCAGGGCTGCCCATTCTCGGGCCCAACCCAGCCTAACCGTCTATGGCTGCAAACTCTGCATACTCCCATAGCAGTTCTGCACATGTGTGAGAGCTTGTTAAAAAGGGAGAAAACCAAGTGTATTCAGAATCTTTAAGAAGCAACTTGCAGGCCCTCATAGTTGCAAGAAGTACAGGTTGGTAAGTGTTTTCTCTGCCCTGGCAAGTACCACTTCCTGATGTGCCCCATGACATCTTTCCTTTCCCCTCACTGGGCATCCTCTGTGCTCCCAAGACACCACAATAGTTGTTGAATATGAGAACATGCTTCTCTCTCATACAGCCTTCTTCTCTTCCCCACCTACCTCCTCCAGATATTCCAAAGTCACAAAAGAAGCTCAAGAATGAATTTCCAAACAACCACCACCACAGCTGAGCCGGTTGTCAACTACTAATGATACACAGAAAACAAGAAATGCTACAACCTCCCTTTCAGACAATTTAGAACAGGAATGACCTGCCCTCTGCTGGGGCAGTTTTATCTGGCCCCTGACAAATCCACCAAATTTTTAAAACACAACAGGCAACATTCTCTCCTAACACCTTTAAAAAGGTGCTCCTTTAAGTTGCAAGGAGGATTCATCATACTCTAAGTGCTGCGTCTTTTATGTCCTATTCAATAGGTAAATCCTACACCAAAGTACATGCGTTCCATACCTGGGAGCTCTCAGCTGCTAGATGGTGCTGCACAATACGGAGTTTTATAAATTGAGAGGAGGGCAGCTAAGGCAGAGTTAGGCACAAGACTGACAGAGATCTGTTGGCAGATCTTTGGATCATTTGCAATCATTTGCTAGGATTTCCAATTCCCTTATGTTGAATAGCAGCGGCAACAAAATAACTCCCCCTTTCGTGGTATGTATATTGGCCCACTCCTCAGCCTGAAAACATATTCCCAAGGCCACTGCACCAAAAACAAGAGTAGCCTCTGCAGGTGCAAAATCACCCAAACCAAAAAAGCAGAGGAAACCCACCGTCCAAGTTGCAGCACTACAAGGCAGCAGAGAAAAGTGGTCCTACCTTCTCTTCCCAATTTCAGAGAAGGCGCACCTGGGCTACCATCCAGACAGAACTCCCAGGGTTGATTTGGGAGGAGAGTGCTTAGTTGCACAGATTTTAAAAATTTACTATGCCTAATCTAAACACATTATCTGGACAGCATATAGTTAGATTCGAGCAGTAAAAAATTTAAAAACTGGGGCAGTTTCACAAGTGGGAAGGTACAAACAAACTTGAAAACAGATCAGCCCAACTGTACATGCTCATTAACCAGAGGTTTCACAGTGCTGCCAGAAGAGCTCAGGGAATCTCTGAGGTAACATGCCAGGTTCAAGCCCACAGGGGAGAAATTAACACTGTGGCTTTTGGAGCCCTCTCAACAACAGACCTGTTACTGGGATATCACCTGCCCCCTTCCAGTGTCCTTACATCCAGCTGCAAAAGAGCAGCGGCTTTGCAGCAGCAATTCCTATCTCTTGGAGGAGATTGGAGGATACCTGTGCATTGGTACCTCACATTGGCCTTCCTCAACTTGTGCCTCCAGATGTGTTGATTCACACATCCTACCGTTCCCAGCCAGCAAGGTGGAGCACTAAGCTGGGGAAGGCTGCCTTACACGAAGGAGGTCAGTGGTCCTTGGCTCTCCAGCTTCAAAAAGCTCTGTGCTTGTCAGATCTTCCTGAAGTCACTCAGCTTCAGCATATTTGCTTCTCGACTGTAAACTAACTGTTCCCCAGGCTTGCCCTCCCACTTACTGTCAGCCCCAGTGAGCCCCTCAGTCCTCCCAGCCCAGCCCTCAGAGGCTGCTTGAGACTCCTGCACCACGACTCTCGCTTCTGCTTTCCTTGGAGGGCCTAGCATGTGTGCGTGGGACTTGAACGCAGCTCTTTCTCACTGCTAACAAAGCGGTTTTTAATAGCCTGTTCCCAAGGAGCTTTCAAGGGCTATCTATCCACCTTCTCCAACCTGATGCCCTCCAGGCTTGCTGGACTTCCACTCTCCTGCTGGTGGGCAGCACACTGCCTTAGGTCCATTTCTGGTGTCACAAATGCTACCTAATTTTCCTCTCTTTCCAGACTGCCCCACTACCCCAGCTGAGCTCAGGTATTTGAAAGAATCTTTGTTGGTTTCAACAATGGGGGGAGGATGGGAGAAAGAAGAGAACACACTTACCTGGCCAAACCGGGAAGAGGGTTCCCACCGATTGTGTGTGGAGTTCCTCATGCACTCTGTGGGAAGCTTCCCCTGTGCTGCTCAACTTTGCCCGCATATGGCACGGTACGCTGTCCCCTACCAACAACCCCAAGACCATGGCTCCAACACACACAGAGACCAGGCTTTTCCTCTTATGTACAGTCCTCTCCTAGCTACATCCAGAATAAACTACACAGCCCTCTAAAATTCCCATCTGAGCAAGAAACTGAGCCAAGCATGTAAAGAAGCAAAAAGTGTCAAAGGAATTGTGAATGCTTAAAAAGGCTTGCTTGAAAAACCAGACACATCAGGTAGCCATGATAAGATATGCATTTCCCTGTGTTCACAAAACTACTGCGTTCCCACCTGCACACCCACCTGGTCAAGAGTCTGAAAACAGACCTGGGCATCATCACAAATGTCAGTGTTGCTCCCCTTAAAAATGTGGGTTTTTAAAACTGAGAGGAGAATCTGAAATCCTCCGGGTCCCTGGCTCAACCAAATGCCATTCATTGTGGCTGCAGTTTCCAGACCCCTTCCTTGCTGTTTGGCCAGACAAGCCCAGCCCTATCATCAGGCCACAAGAACAGCTCCCTCAGGAGGAAGAACCTGTGTGAAAGTAACGAGTAGCCAATGGCCACTATGCAGTTTCACTGCAGGGCAGGAGGGAGCATGCTTTTTGCTCCCCCCAGAATGGATTTTGAGGGGCACTGAGGTCCCTTAAAAATACAGATGTTTGTTTATTTATTTTCGATTTATATCCTGCCTTTTTCCTGCAAAGGGCTCAAGGCAGCTTACATGATTCTCCTCCTCCATCTTATCCCCACAACAACAACCCTGTGAGGTAGGCTGGGCTGAGAGTCTGCGACTGGCCCAGAGTCACCCAGTAGGCTCCATGGCCTACTTTGTTTGTTTGCATCTGCATGATTCATTTCTTCCAAATGCATGATGGGAAGAATCAGGACCCTTCTAAGGGGGAAGGGCAGGATTCCCTTCGGCAACAAAAGCACACAGAGCCCTGCCTGAATACTACCCTCACTGCAGCAGCGACTGCTCCTACCGCTCAACTTACCTGCCTTGCACAAAAGTTTCCATATAGCCTGAAATGCCTGGCCCTGCCTCATCTTGGAAGCTAAGCCAGGTCAAGCCTGGCTGAAATCTCAATGGGTGACTGAAATGTTGTGAGCTGCCCAGAGAGCTCTGACTACCGGCGGTACAGAAATGTAACATAACAATCATAACATCAGCTGTGCCGCTTCACAGGCCCCCTGGGATTCTCCCCCTGCCCCATACCAGTTCCTACGGAGGGCTTCGAGGCCTTGCTGCTGCTTACCTTGCCTTGGGCACTTCCAGTGGACTGCTGCCCAGCCGCGAGAAGTTCTCCGAGTGGTTAGAAGAGGAAGAGCTGGAGGACCTGGCTTCAAGCACACTCTGGAAAGGCAGCCGGTCTTCGGACTGCAGTGGCCGACTCCACGGGGCTGCATGAGGGGACGACGCACAGTTTTTCTTCCTGCGGGGAGGAAGCACACACACAGATGTGGGAGGAGTGCTTGAGCTTTGCCGTACCAAGCAAGGTTGCTGGTTGGGGAGCCTCCCTGCACCAAAAGGCCTCCCAGGTGCCTGAGACACAGCTTTCCAAGGCAATCCCTGGATCTTCAAAAAGACTCAGGCACCAAACTGGAATTCCGTCTCCCCTCCATGAGAACATGAGCTGATAGCTGAGCCTCCAAACCAGGCTAAAGGCAGCTGGGAGGTTGCACACAACCGAACTAATATTACTAAATTGTTTTTAGAAGCATACAGCAGAAAACAGGAACAGAGAGGCAGCTATTTAAACAATTATACGTACTGCAGCGATGGGACAATGAGGAGCAACATGTTAAAAATGCAGACAACAATCCAGTGCAGAAGCTTGCAGCTATTTGTCTCCCAGATGTCAGCATAAACATGGTTTTAGCATTGCAGTGCGAGGCTGCTAAAAGAGGTAGATCGGTATTAGATGCCCTGATTTGCAGGCAGGAATACTGAGCCCGGCCAGAGTGAGTGTGTGGAGGGGGAAAGGTCTGAACTGGGAGGAAAGCGCCTGCTCTTTGCCATGGCTCCCTAAGAGCCAAGAAGAATACTAATACCTGCATACTCCTTCAGGCTCCCAGGACAACAAAGCTCTCACTGCTACTATCAGGATTCACTGCTTTGATCTTCTCACATGTGCCATTAAGAAGTAAAGCTTGAAAGTATGTCTTGAGAAGGGCAAGATAAACCAGAGTAAAGGGTAAGATAAAGTGGGCTGAACATCAACTTCATCCATTTTATTTCCATGCCCTTTACAGCTACAGGAACTCCCTAATTTATTGTCTCTGTGACTTAAGCCCAGCCATTTCTGCACCCCACACATACAAATTCTCCTCCCTCCCTTCCCCCGCCCCCTTTGCTTATTCAAACCCTTCCAGAAGGGGAAAATTACCTAAGTACTGGGGACAAGCTACACTCTGAAAGCACATAAAAGCACAGAAATACAGGAGAAATTGCCTAATTGAGTCTGATCACAGAAGCCCACTTTTCCAGTAGAGAAGGGTAGAGGCTGACAAGCAGCACTCCGACCATGCAGGCCACAGAAAGCAACTTCACTTTGCCCAGTCTATTCCCCGCACCAGAGTCTTTTATCACCTTGCAGCTTTAGAGGCTACCTTTCCACTGCCAAGGTCAGGTGCGAAGTATCAGGAATGTCTTCCCAAAAGGACCTCTTCGAGCAGATTTCCTTTTACACAGCAGGGGGAGGAGGATGATAGACTGGGATCCGGTGTGAGAGCTGCGTGGTTCTGCAGCACCCAGCAAGTGCTCAAACGCCAACTTTTTAATAACAGCAACATCTAAAAACCTTTCTCTCTGCTAAATTAGGGTGCTGTAAAAAAAAAAGAAAAAAAAGAGGGTGCACTAGGGAAAATCAGGAGGGTGTTGCTGCAGTTGCTGCTGCTGAAGGGCTGCTCAGCTGAATGCAGGCAGATAGATAGCACGAATTCCGCAGCTGAGCAGCTGCGCAATAGTTCCTTGCTCATTCATTCTGAGGACAGGCCTGCCTGCTTCAGCCACTAATGAGCATGTGGCTTTAGTTCGTGGATCTCAGGCTTCCAGTTAAATGTTTTTACAAAAGGCATAGCAGATCCTGTAAGCCTGATGTCTGCCCAGCAATGCCCGACATGCAATGCCAATAAGCTGCTGTAATAGAGTGAGGGACACCTTGTGTAGCGGCAGGCAACTCCTATCAGCCAGCAAGACCAATGATCAGGAGTTATGGGAGCTGTAGTCTGGGACACTTGGAGGGGAGTTGCTTGCGCTTGCTTTATGTGAGCCAGAGGTGCACCGCAAGCATTCCATAGCTACATCTTTCCCTAGCTGCTGCGACCAGAGCAACCTGCAGGCTGCCACTGAGCAAAGCCTGCCTGGACCGGACAGAAGCACTGGTCCACTGCCGATGTGCACACATGCCAAAGAAGGGCTGTGACTGCTCTGGAATAGGGCACAATTCTGCCTGAGCCGGCTGCTGGGAGTCGGGAGATCTGAACCTGCCGCAGCCTCTCTTCGCAGCCACTCACTCACTACCCCTGCACTTCACCCCCCGCTTCCATCTTTCAGCCACCCCCGCCTCCCCAGCTGCCTATGGAGTGATTATCAGAGGTCTGGCTTATTACCCCTGGCTGTGCACGATAATAAGGGCTCCCCTCCAACCACAGGATTTCCTTGGAAGACCCTTGGCGACTTGCTCTCGAAAGCGCAAGACAGCAGGGCTGAGCTTTCAAGGGCCTTTATGCTCTCTCCAACTTGTGATTGCTGCATTGTGCACAGGCACAAGGCTGAGACTTAATGAAGTGCCTAATAACACAGCCACAGGCACTCAGGCAGGCAGGCAGAGAGGAGAGGCAATTAAAAAAAGAGAGAGGCTTTTAAAAACAGGACAGGGCTTCCTGCAGCTTCTGCAACTGTCCCAGCTTGAGCAGGAGAGGCAGGGGGAGGCGGGAAACAAGCTGGAACATAAACAGAACTGGCAGCTAAAGGTGTTCTCTGTGCATGGCAGAGAGCTCACTTTCTCCCTGGCCATATCAATAACCTTGTGCCAAACTGCCCAACTAAACATTTCCTTATGCCAACTTTAAGACAATTTTGCCAGCACTTTTTTCTGGCCACACTTGAAAACATGCATCAATGCCAGCCAGAAAGAGGCCTTTGGAAAATGTAAAGCTGCAGTTGTGATGTGAATTTACCACAAAGCCTGGCAGGTTAGGATCCCACTCTAAGACCCTCTGTTTTCCTTGTCTGAGCAAGCCACTAGCTCTCCTGTTTCCGAGAGGAAAGCTGGACACACAAACCTTAACAGCTGGCCTAGAAATGGTGTCTAATAGTTGTGAAAATATGGGGCTTTCACCAGGCTTCTTCACACAGTTTGAGTCCCAAAGCCTTCCTGGCAATCCCTCATCACCATTCCATGGTAATCTTGCTTCCTTACGATGCTTGAAATTTGAGCTCACAACTCCAGTTACTCACAGACAGCACACAAGGCCTTCGCTGCATCTGCATCATCTAAGCATTGGCTACAGACTAGGAAACACAAGAATAAGTGTGCAGGCACCGCGAAGGAAGCACACCTACAGAGTATCTAAGTCTCTCTCAAATAAAAGAAAACAGAAATATCTTGCAGCAGAATAAAAGATGCTGTGTTTTGAAAAAATAACATTCAAAGAACCCTATTTGTCTCTGTTTATGTGATTCTCCAGATTCAAAAACAGACAAGAAAAACATAACCAGAAGCAACCACACTAGTTTATCCTTTTCACAGAACCTGGGCCTCCTAGCTATAAAATTTATATTATTTACCTCAAAACATGAGATGCTCCTACAGAAAACTAAAGTGACCCAGAAAAACATACAGCTGAGGATTTGCCAACATGACTGCCTGTATGGAATTTTACTGTCATTGCCTGACTGTTCGTTACTGTGAGTGCAGAGTTTGACGAGAGCTGCTCTGCAGATTTTGCAGGGGTCGCATTTCCAGACTGTCCACACCTTGAACGGATTGCAAACACGCACGTTCCATACTTCCAAGAAGCCAGGCGTGACAATGGCAAGCTGAGAGTTCGCTGTTACCCAGAGGATTTCCAGTTGCCTCTCAGCACAGCCCCGATTTAGCTCAGAATAATTGCACTGTAAAATATCATTAGCAGACATGCTTGGGGAGAAGAGAGGAAAAATTAAACTGAGCAGGGCAAGCCCGCAGCAAGGCTCTGAAATCCCCAGCCCTGGGCTCCCTTTCCCATCACGTGGGCGTACTGCAGGAGTTCGCAGTCTTGCTGCTCCAGCACAGCCTGCTAGGCCTGCACAGCCAGGCTGCAGGGGGAGGGGGGCCCTGAGCAGAGCTGCCTCAAACACCCGTCACTGCCAAGACCTCTGTCAGCCACCCTACCGCTGAGCTGCAACTGATCGGTAGACAAGGTTTTGTGCAGGCTTAAAGAGTTGCTCTGCCATCACAAACAGAGCAAGCTGCTTTACATCACATTGAAGCACTAGTCTGTCAAGCTCAGCATTCTCTGTGGTGTTCCAGCATTCTCTTCCCAATGTGGTGGTACCTGCCAGGTTTTGGACCACAACTCCCAGGAATGGCTGGAATTGATGGGAACTGTCGCCCAAAACATCTGGAGGTTGCCAGGCTAGGGAAGGCTGGTCCGCACTGGTGAGCACCAGATCTCCAGGCATTCAGGCAAGGATCTTTCTCAGCTCTACCCACTGTTGCCACTGCCTGAGGGGCTGGATGCCCTGCAGCCAGGATACTGGGGGAAGAGGCCAGACCCCATGCCATGACGTCTGCGCGGCTGCCCCCGCTCTTCATTTTGGCTGGGAATGTCCAGGTTCCCCGGCAAAGGAGCCCTCCTAGTCATCACTGGAGGGTGTCTTTAGTTTAGTACAGGGACCAGGTTGGTGGGGGGGGGGGGGGCTGCACTCACCTCTGGGGCATCCTACCACGATATATATGTGCTTGTGCTTTCGTTTGTATATTGGGGGGGGGGGGGGGGGGGTTCTTGACTTGCCAGCTACCCTGTACCAAATGCCCAAGAGGATGCTACGATCACGTGCACAAGTACATCTAATGTTGCCATTTGGATGCAGGACCAGGCAATCAGCAGCTTGACCTAACCAGTGTCATGCTAGGAGTGAAGCTCCTCGAGGCCCTGTGCTAGTCAGGCCAGCTGCTTCCAGCGAGACAGTGGGGGACCTGAAGGCAACCCGTGGCTCTTTCAGGCACCGTCTAGCGCATCGGACACCCTCCAGATATACCAAATTGCAGCTGCCACAACCAATTCCCAGCCACTGCCCATGCTGGCTGGCAACTGCTCAAACTGCAGTCCAGCACAGCTGCACAGTGCCAGGTTTCCAAGGGAGGTCTAGAAGGTTCCAACAGACGTCTTCATGCTTTTTGATTAATGTGCCAAGCCGCATCGCTTACCCCACATGATGGAAAGTTTATCTATGCAGACACACAGAGTATCTTACCAGGACGCCTGCGTTTGAGGACCTGCTGGCATCAGCTCCACAGCTTCATAGGTGAAGCTCCCTCCAGCCCCAGGTGAGCTTTCCATTACAAGAGAGAAGTCACTGCTCAGACTGGTGGTGCTGCCCCGGTCCCCCTGCTCTGGAACACAAAAAGAGACCTGTGTAGGACCAGCCACCACCTTCCTTTTCCTCGCTAAATGCTGGCAATCCAAATGTCAGCACAAATGCATGCAGCAAAATGCAGCACATGAACTATAGACCAAGGACACAGTCTGTGGCAATTCCCACAACTGCAGCAGTCAGGAAAAAATATATGTCACCATTGTGGAAACTGTTGCTGCCAGCGCCATGGATGGGGCTCCAACCTGCCAAATGCAGCTCAGGAACCCCCGTTGCTTTGGCAGTGTAATAAAGCCTTACAGCTTCGCTGATAGACTGACATGGCAAAGTTGTCAGATCATGTTGGGACCTGGGCTGTAGTGATATTTGCAGGGAGCTACTTCAACGAAAGCTCTGAAACTCGGAAGAATGGAAATCTTCTCTCACTCAGTCCCATCACTTTCTTCCTTTGTGGCCACAACTTGCCTGTAACACGTTATAGGAAAGCAATGTAGGTGCAGGTGTTGGGTTTCATTTTGCACAGAGTACATGCAAATCCAGTTGTAGCCCTTCAGACAGAGAGAGGCGATTGCTCTACCTGTTCCAAGCAGGTATCAAAGGAGGTTGCATGTGTTGTGCGACTGCACACTAAGCAAGCACAAACATGAAACCTGGCCACCATCATGGCTTTGCTTTTAAACTATCTCTTCCTTGACAAGAAGGTTGGCCTGATAAGATCTCAGGAGCCAAACATATGAGGTAGGAGAGGCAATATCACTATGCAGAATTCCATATGGTCATAAATGGGACTTCAGTGACTTGCACTGGTATTGCAAAGAAAGGGCAAAAGCCATCAGCAGAAATAGTCACCATATTACACTTATTTGCTTTTTCTGCAGCATTTGCACATGTCAAAGAACTTGGTTTTCCTTGCTACAGAATGTACATTACTCCAATCCTCTCTTTTGTTGTGGTCAAGAAAGGCACATTCCAATCAAAGAGTGCTGTGCTACTGTTTAATATATATATCTAATATATATTAGATTGGAGGATAGCTTAGATGACAGCTAACTGACTCACTACAATGGCAAACACAAAATTTGCCGAACTTTCACCTGGAGAGGCACCTGCTTCTTTAAAAGCATAGAAGAACTAGGAGAATCCACTGCATTACTTTTCTTTACCTATCCTTTCACCCAGGGTGGGACAAAACTATTGCTACAGCAAGAGTCGTGGTTGCTATGTCCTCCAGAGACTCTGGAGAAAGAACACACAGCATCTCCTGCTGTCAACACAAAACTTTTGGCGCTCAGGCAGTGAAGCCACAACAGAGAAAGCACTGGACTTAGACGAGCATTCAAATCTAAGAGCACATGCCATGCTAAAAATATTCAATATATTTTGAAGTACAGCATAGTCAAGGCTGTATCTTGCCTATTCAATAAAACACTGACTTCTGTGACCAGAAAAGCTGCAACACATGAATTATACTTGTTAAGAAGTATTTGCTCTTATTTTGCCTAATGTATTTCATTGCAGAGAGTAACAGGAATGGACAAGGAGCATACAGAAGACCAAATTTCTTCCAAGCCAAGATTGGCAAAGTTCCACTGGAAGTCTCGTGCAGCCACTTCTCAAACTCCTAAAATTTCAGCTGTCCTTATATGCACACACCCTGAACCATGCCGAAACGGGCAGACCTGCAGGTGGCATGCACTTTTTACACAAAAGCAAGCAAGCTGTTATGCTGTGTGGCAGGCAGCACAGCCATCGCCCTACTTATAGCTGACTGCAGGTTTTAGGTGTCCAGAAACAACGATTCTTCTTCCAATGCGTCTGGAGAAGAGGAATCTAGACTCAACTGAAGTTTAGGCTGTAAGAAAACTCTCTTCAGGTACCACAAAACCCTTGGCTGCTTTTATTACAAGCTGCCCCTCTGGAAACAGTCCTTCAGAGGGCTCCATGGATAACCCTGCAGATCCGTGTATGATTCCCTCTATTTCAGATGTCATAAGGCAAGTGCCAATGTTTACATAATCAAAACAGCTCCATCCAGCAGGCACAGGGAAGCTCTAAAAAGCAAACTTTAGGGAAAAACTAAGCAAGGGTGTGTCAGAGACTGAATGTGCTTTGCAGAGAGCCAATGGGAGGAAGGAGAGAAAACTGGGTGGGAGGGAGAAGGGACTGGAACCCTGTGGTGGGCGTGACTGGCAAGTACACCGAACGGGAGCACATCACAAGTTGAATGGCCTGTTGCAGCTCACGCCCCTTACAGCTGTGCAGTACAGGGGCACTGATCCTGCCCAGAGCCTGAGGCTGCAGCAGCCCAGGGACAGGAGCAGCTCCAATTGTCCAGGCAGCAGACCAACCAGGACCAGACTAGTGCACTAGTTGCAAGGTGCAAAAGGGCACTCACTCAGCATGCAGATCTCTTCCAAAGTAAATCCGGGTGGCAGGCTCGTCCTTCTGGCATAGGAAAGAGAAAAGGTGTAGATGAGGAGGAGAGAGAAGAGACACAGACAGGGGCCACGTGCAGTTATTTCAGGTACACATGTTCAGCTCTTAGCTTTTAGTTAACATGAAACCATGGGGGTGGGTTTGGACCGAAGTGTCGTCAGTATGCAAATGATGCACAGCTCCACCTCTCCTTTCCATCTCCACATCCCAAGGGGGTGGGGGCACAATGCCTGAATGGGTGTCTAGAGGCTGTTCTAAGGTGGATGAGGATAAACTAACTGAAACTTAATTCGGACAAAAAGGAGACACTGTGGATTGGGAATCACCTATTTTGGGCAGAGGTTTATAGAGGGACTCAAATGGGGTTGCACTATTCCCAGGAGACCAAGTGTGGAATCTGGGAATCCTCCCAGACTCTAGGCTACCTGGGATCCTCCAGGTGGATGCAGTGTCCCTGATATTTTTCCACAGTGATCCCACACCTCTAGGATAAGTTACCCTTGGAGGTTCACAGAGTCTCACATTTGCAGGCTTTTAAGGTGGCCCTGACAATATACTGTTTTACTTTGGCTTTCCCTTATATAGTTGGAATTGTTGAGGTTTGTTGCAATTTTAAGAACCTGTATTTTTTAAATTAAACACTGCCTAGGAGGGCTTCAACCCTGAAGGATGGCCAGGAAATATTTTAAATAATAAAAATAGTGGCAATAGACCTTACTTAGAATAGAGCTGGAGAATTCTGAGAATTACAGGATTTGTTTCTGTCTAAACATGGGCAAGATTGTGCCCTTAACGAATTACTTTCCAACTGACCAAGCCAGACTTGCAGAGGTATGATGGCATGGGGAGAAGAGCATGAGTCCAGGGGTCTCACTCTCAATCTTCCAAGCCCTGCTTTGGGGAACTATCTGAAAGCAGCCACCCTGCGGGCTCTTCTAGGATGGCCCACATCTGTGCAGCAAACCAAACATGACAGTGTCATATCAACAGATACTACTCCAAGCAGCTAAAGATGGAGCACCCATATTCATGGCCAGCGATGATTGCAAGAGGGGCTGTGTTGCTTTTGGCTACCCAGGGGTCTCTTACAGCACACTCCTGGGAGGCAGAATGCTAGGCTGAATGGACAGGCTGGGCATGCACATGGTAGGCATGTCATGAGCGGAGATGGCTGGAGCCAGGGGTCAGACTAGATGGCCTGGATGACCCCTTCTGACTCGCTCCGTTTCTCTGTTTCCATGACCCTTGGTCTGATCCAGCACCGCAGTCCTCATTCCCCATAGCAATAGAGCCGTTCCAGCAGCCAATATAATTGGAGGGTCCTTCTTCCCCAGATCTTAGTCCAAGTGACGCGCTGACCAAACTCACAGCCCCTTTTCTCCTTATGTAGGCCTTCCACTGCCTCAGCAGTTTGCAGAAATCAATGTGGCCCCATTCTGGCTGCTTCCCAAGTGCAGAATAAATTAAAGTGAACTGGGCCAGGACACCAGGGCCTGCCATCTCCCAGAAGAAAGCATGAGCACTAACGAGATCCTCTCTCTCTCTCTCTCTCTCTCTCTCTCTCTCTCTCTCTCTCTCTCCCTCTCTCTCTCTCTCTCTCTCTGCCTTTGGTGGCGGAAGAGGGAGATGCTATTGCAGGCTCTTACCTCGGCTGCTTGATGGCAGAGAACTCCTCAGAGGTGATGTGCTTCAGAAAATCGAAGCAGAAAAAGAAAATCTATAGTCCCGAAAAAGAAAAAAAAGTTGGGAGAAAGCATAAAAGTCAGGACAAGCCGCTCTGGCAAATGAAAGCTGCCAGACTGTACATCTCCTTCATCTCTATGGGGTGCAGGCCCAGGGGAGGAGGCAGACACCACCATGCAGATCTAACAAGCGCCCCTCGTTAGCCAACCCTTTGGGGGCCTCAGCCACCTGCTGGCCATGCCTGGGTACTGCATGCAAGAAGGCAAAGGGCTGATATCACCACCCTGCCATGAAAGCACACACACACAGTCCATACGAATATGGATTAGATGCGGCCACGTCATGGTGATGTGCAGACCCAAGTTAAGATGGACAACAAAAACCTTGACCTGAGGGCCTAGAAACCCACATGAGCACAAATCACATTAGCATTCTCAAATTTAAGAGGACAAATTATGGATTCTGGCCAGGGTTGCAGGGGGTGGGGTGTCTCAAATCATTAGGGAATGCTGCTTTAGAGCTGTGCATGATTCCCAGTCCCTCTTCTAAGGCTAGAAATCCTGTTCTCCTTCCAGGTCTCTTTATCCCCCATTGCCCTCACCCTGTAATCCTTGCAAAACTGAATCTACAAAAACCCTAAAATCAAAGCTTCAGTGAGGGAGGCAGGCATTCTATTCTACTCTTGAGCTACTAGCCAAACAGCTAGAACGGCGAGGCGGCTGAAACAGACCCTCTCTGTTCAGAAAAGACAGCTACATAAGAAGAGCCCTGCTGGGTCAGACCAGAGGCCTACCTAGCCTAAAGTCCATCCACACAGCAGCCAATCAGATGCTCCGGTGGAAGCCCACAAGCAGGGCATGGGCGCAACAGCAGCACCCTCTTGCTTATATTCTCCATGTTTCAGAGGTAAGCAGCCCCTGGTAACGAAAGCAATCTATAGCCATCACGACTAGTCATCATTAATAGAGGGCAGATGCCAGTCGACTGTTCTCGTGCTCATATATGCATGCACACATGCACGCACAGTATAATGTCTACCGAGTGATTCAAGACACCACGGCTACTTTGCACTACCTCCCAATTATCCTGAAAGAGACTCACCTCCTCTCCTTTGCTAAGCCGGTCCACTAACATGTGCCTGGCAAGAGAACAGAAGAAAATTCTGTATCCACCAAGTAATTTCCTATTCAGATGTCTGTGTTGTTTATATTATCATCATCATTTATATACTATCTTATACATTAAATCATCAATGATTTCAAACAATAACATCATAAAACAATAAAAAATAATCTAATCAGTAAAAATGTTAAAACCCTGAAGAGGGTGTTTCAAAAGGCTAACTTGAAGAAGTAAGTCTTCACAGCCTTCCTGAAAGCCAAGTGAGTGGGGGTCAACAGTAGCCCCATAGTTTTTTTTGGGGGGGGGCAGCCCTTTCACACACACCTGACAAATGGTATGTGTGGCCTCCATGGGTAATGGTGCCTCTCCTCAAAAGGGCCTCTCCCATGGGTTTTAATACTGGGAATGTTCATAGTGAGCCAGATAGGTCCTTACATAACCAGTTCCTCAGCAGTTTAGTGCTTTACAGGTTAAAAGCAACAATATGAATCACATCCAGAAAGCAACTGGAAGCCAAGCACGTCTTTCAACACAGGTGTAATATGGTCAAGATTCTCCACGCTGCCCATGTATCTGCAGAGTACATTATCTGAATTCTAGGATGACTGGGATTTAGAAAGAGAGGCCAGGTTTAACTGCTAGGTTTTCAGTCTGTGGTCCAAGCTCCCTCTCTCTGAGGAGTGACAAGCAAGAGGAGGAAGTGAGAGTGCATACAGATCTTGGAGAGAGAAAAGAGTCTGGGTCAGGGTTAGGCTTGCATTTTCAAAGACGGATCAAAGGATCAAAGAGTCCTTCCCAGTGGGGAATCCTAACCAGTCAATGCTGGATTTGTGGAGAGGTCACTTCTCTACACCCCCTGCCCTTTTGTCACGTAATGACAACATGATTCAGGGGAGAGAAAGCTTGGAAGGGCAGCATGAAACAATGTTTTGCTGGGTGTGCTTTTAGGAAGAGGAGGGTCTGCAGTATTCCCCTCCCCCCTTCTCCTCCAGTGCCAGTACATTTGATCAGTACACCAATCCACATATCTTAGTGCACAGCAGCAAGACACACACACACACACCCTCTAGGCACAAAGATCTCTACGGGCTCATCTATGAAACAGATGGCTGGTATTCTGTAAGGCAAGCTTAAAAGGGGAGCCCCAAGTCAACCTGATTAAGAAAGAAAGCATTAGCCAGCCCTGGCAATGGTCCCATGACCCCTCCCTCTTCTAGTTCAGGCAGAGACAGTCTCTAGCAGGCCTACCCGAAGAGGAACCAGTCGTAGGCCACGGTCAGGTAAAGAATCTCTGCAGGTTCCAGGGACGCATGGATCAGCCCGTCCTATGGCAGGAAAGAAGACCAGTCATGCATCCTGCAGCGCAACAGTTTCCTGCCCTGCATTTCCATCTGCCATAGGCCTGCCGCTCAGCATGGGGCATTGTGCTGGTAACTGAGGGAGAGCCTCTCAAGTCGATACAAAAGCGATGCACGAAGCCAAGCATCCCCTTTCCACAATGCTATACAATGCTGCCATAAACTGTTCACAGATAATCCAAACAGTGAATCGTATCTCCCAGCCCCCGAGAACTTTAAAGGTTCTGGTTCTCAATGCTACTTGGAGGGGGTATTGTACTGTTTGGAAACAGTATGGGACATGCTTGACACCTACAGCCACTAATTATCAGTTTGCACACATGACACCCCACTGTGAGCTAATTTATCCACAAGGAGCTGTGGTTCAAGTCAACCAAATGTGCAAACCCCACCAAAGGGGATTATCCAAACCTGGGCAGCATGATATACAACATTTGCATAACCCTAACATAGAGAGAGGGTTGCTTAACCCTCAAATAACCCCCAGCTTGCAGGTTCAGATGACACAGTAAGTCATGGCAACCCCCACAATGGTGAACAGCATGTTTTTAGACACCCCAATGTTTAATTGACCCATGGAGGTCTATTTTGCTGCCCAAGCCAGGTCTAAGAGGCAGCTGACCTCCAGCCTTTCACAGTTCTTTATAACTTCTCATACAGAGGTTTTTCTTACATTCCCAGACATCCCTGTCTTTACCAGCAAATTAAATAAGCAGAATTTGGTTCCCCTTGTAGAACAAGAAACCAAACCCAGATTCTACCCTGGTGTGGATCAGATTGTGCAGTGCACTAAGACCTTGTATTTAAAGCATCCGGTAGCAACGGAAGTGTATTGACTGATTTAGGCATGGCCAGAAATTGGGCCGCATAACTTTGCAAGTGCTTTTGTACTGACTGAAAGACTCATTGCCCTGGGGAAGACAGAATCATGCATTTGTTTCAACTGTGGGGAAGAGGAAGAGAGATTTTACAGAACAAGAAAAAGCAAGACACCCAACCCACAGCAAAATGTTTTAAAGTATATGTCCTCTGCAGTGAGGAACACTGAGGGGCATGGACCAGAGAGCCACCAGCATTCAATCTCTGCTCAACAAATTAGGCAGGCCTCCAACAGCCATGCGTGCGGATGGGCAAAAACGTACATCTTTGTGTCTGCTGCACGGCCTAGAACAACTTCTCCAAGCCCAGCACCCTCCAGGTGTTTTGCACTTCAGCTTCCATCAGCCCTGGACAACATGGCCAATGGTCAGGAACTCTATGAAGGGTAATCAAAAACACCCAGGAATCTTGGGGAACACTGCCCAAGAAAATCAGAAGGGGAAAGAGTTCAGTTCCAGGATTCAGGGGACCTTCCTCAGTTTGCCTTCTTAGCCTGGAAGGGACAGGGTACTCTGTTCTTGGCCAAGTAGAGATATTCTACACAAGTCAAAACCAGTCATGCTTTGTGTGAGAGGTTCTTTTGCTGACCTGGAGGCACTAAGAAATGCCTGAGGTTCCAACAACCCAGGAAGATTTTTTTTAAATTCAGTGTAGCCCTCATTGTCCTATTTCCTTCCCCTTCCCCTGACCACAACCCCTGGCCTTCCAAACCAGCTCCAATGTCCCATTAATGCCGCCACTGTCATCCCTGATGGAACAGTAATAGCCTCAGCTCTGCATGCTCTCTTTTCCAAAGTGCACACCTAACACAAAATGAGGCCCAGTCATTTTACATGCAGAAGCTGAATGTTCCACTAGCAAATCCCTAAAAGCCTCCCAGGGGACTTGCTCGTGTCAATCTTATTCTGGGGGGCGGATGGAACTGACCCACCCACTAGAGCCATCCTCTCACTTTTAGAGGTACTCTATAGCCCAGCTGCACTCCTTGTGTTTCCTCCAGTTAAGGTGTTCTGCTCACTGGTACTCACAGCCCACAGGGAGAGGCGCAGGAGGGAGATGAAGAGAGGCGTCCTGTCCCAGCCGGATATACAGTGCACCAGGAGCCCACTGTCATCTGTGCTGAGCCGGCAGGAAGGGAAAGCAAAAGCGGAGGGGAAAAAGCTGCATTACTTGTATGGCATTCAGGATAAAAAGCCCCCCATGGTACTGAGGCCTCCGTTACTCCCCAGGGGATGCATTGGCATATGCTAGGCCAGCTGCATGAGGCAGAGCATTCTCCAGAGACAGTCTTTGCAAGGCAGAGGAGACAAGAAACTGTACCAGTCCGGGGAGGGGTGGGGGGAGGGCTGGAAGAAAATCAGGGGAAACTCTTACTAGACAGAGTTAGCTGCATGTTGCAGTTGTCTAAAGATTTACTGCCCTCCCAGTTGTCCAAGCAGCCGACTGCATTCTCCTCTTCCCATGATAACTTTTTGATTCACCCCAGACTGCAGTAATCTCATACTACCTAGGGCAAGTTAATCACTCGAACTGCCATCAGCCAGGGGACTTTGGGCCACAGGGGGCTTGTAAGAATAGCATCACGGAAAGAAGAGAATCGACCTGCTCCATCCACTGGTCAGAAAAGAGGTGTCTGCAGGGAGCTTGCTCCTCCCCTTTGTGCCAGAAAGAGCACTTGGCTCTCCAACGGCCCGTTGCCCTAAAAGTGCAGAAGCAAAAGGAAGGAACACTCTGGTACTGCCCATCAGCCAAAGGAAGAAAAGCAATGGACCACTATTCAGTGCAGAAACACCAAGAGAAGATGATCAGCCTGGCTCAAACTGGATCTAAATGTCCAATTATATTTCCTAACTTTGTTCTGGCCTTGAAAAACTGACCAACCCTCTCTACCTTTTCCTTCCAACTCTCCTCTCTTCCTTGTGTCTGCTTCATCCCTTTTTGTATGGAAACCTGACGGCAGGTCCTGCCTCTGTCTCTTTTTTAGTACATGTGAACTGGTTTGGGAGAAAAATAATTACCTGAACAAGCCAAAAAGCAGAGTAAAATGCAGTCAAGAATAATAAATAAACTTGCTAAGAGTGGGCAGAATTAACTGTCAATATTTGGGCTGCCTTTGTTGAAGTTTATGCATAATTATCTCTAACTATAGAGATATGTTTTGCTGCATACACAACATACATAATCTATTCATTGCAACACATCTACCTATTGTCACCATTTATTTTATTTTTCCCTTTTTGATGTTTTTCTTTATTTTGGTTTTGATTTCAAAATACACAATAAAAATGAGCAAAAAACATGGGCAGATTATAGAATACCCTTCCACTGGGAGATATGCCAGAGTCTGAGCTTAAGATTTTTTTCTGAGAAGAATGAGAGTTTTCTTATCCGGACCGGCTTTTAAATAAGTCAGGCAAGCATGCCAAAACCATATGCTCCCGCATGCGACTCTAATGTCCCCACCCAGATTTTCACGTTACTATGCTCGAGTTCCAGCGAGGGGCAATTCAGCCAGTGAAATAAAGTGCCTTCATGCCTCTTATTTAGGAAATCTGGATAGAAGAAGAAAAAGAATGGTACTAATTTTCTAAGTCCATGCTGGCTGGGGATGATGAGTATCACAGTACAACTAATCCAGAGGGCCCTGGGCTGGGAAAAACTGTTACAGCACACTTCCACACTTTCCAGGGTGCACTACAGGCCTGACCTGGAAAAGATTCTGGGTGGGCAGCTCCAGAGAGTTCAAGGGATACTTCTGATCCCTTCTCTACAGCCACACACCTGCCTCAAACAAAAATAAATGGCAGCCTGACACCAAATTTCTGGAGCAAACCAGTATACAGCCTTAGACAGGCCAGATTTAGCTTGAAAACAAGCTTCTGCCAAATTTCACCAGCAAACTGTCTGGTTTTGTTGGAGGCAGGAACTACTACATTTGGTGGAAAGGCCAAAAAAACAGGACATGTGGCTACATGTAGCCCATGTAGATAACCTCCTGCCTTAGATAACCATAGTCAAAGATAGGGAGGTTCGAGTAAAAGGCTAAGCATAAAGTTGAAAGCAAGAGCTATTACCACATGCATCCCATGATCACTGGTCGTAAACATTCTGTTCAAGACAGCATCACCAAGCAAGAAAATGTGCTTCAGACTTCAGTTCCTGAACATCCCCTGCCCACCTCCCCTAGAAAGCTTGAAAAAAATGTTATAGGGGCCATTATCTGGCAGCATTCCAGAAGACTACGGGCAAAGGTATGCACAGATGAGTTGAACCCTATTGCTATCAATCTACATATGAAACATAACACATTTTTCCATAGGATCCATAAAACTTGAAAAATAAATATGCAAACAAGCAAGCAGGCAAAATATGTGTGTTTGGATGTGCTTTGTAGAGCCAGTGCGGCACAGCAGTTAAGAAGGGCACACTGGGACTCAGCAGATCCAGGTTCTGGTCTCCATTAGGCTAGGAAGCTCCCTGGGCAACTCTGGGCCAGTCACTGATTCTCACCTAATCTACCTCCCAAGGTTGCTGAGATAATGAAATGGAGAAGGGGAGGACCAATATGTTCTTTTGAAGGAAACACCGGAGGGCTCATTAGAGGAAGAAGTGGGATATACGTGTTAAGAAATGAATAAATAAAATGTTTCAGACTGTTAGGTTAATTTAGTTCTGGCTAGGAGATCTACCTGATCCAAGGGAACTGCTGCTAGAAGCAAAGGCTGAAAGAGACATCTGGAGCTATTTTGCAAGGCAAAACAAAGCAGAGACCTCTAAATACAGTCTCTGGGTCTATCAAGCAAAGGGGAAACAAAGCCCTTCCTGGAGGTCCAAGGGCAACGGCAAGCCAAGTGTCAAAGTGATCAAAATAATGGAACCCTTCGGAGGTTCAAAATGCATAAGCAGCAGTACATTTGTACTGGCAACTCATCTTCCCCAATACACAGGGACTAATTTACCAGGAAATGGTGGGAAGGTGGTACAGAATGAAATTTACAAGTCCTGTGCCTGCACTGGGCAATTTCTAAAAATAATTGCTCGAGAAGGAGAAAGAGAGTACCCCCATGTCACCCCCCTTCTGCTTAGCAAGAAGAGAACCTCACCGTCACCATTGATAATGGAGATCAGAAGCTTCAGGTAGTTCTGTGTCTGATGCACAAGGTCCCAGCTCTGTGGAGGGGCGGGGTGGAGAGAAGACAAGAGAGATAAACCAATACCTACAGGAGTATATCTTTGTAACTGTTCAGGAGTTGCTCCCAGAAGCAAGTCATCTTTGTTCATTACCTGTTTCATCATCCACACTTAGGGAGGTTTGGCACCTGTCCAGAGATGAAGGCTGCAGAGTTACCCCCTCCCTTCAAGGGGATGTGCCCCCTTGCATCTCCCATGCTGTTTTCAGTGATGACCTCCAACCCCAGAGAAGCAGCAAACAGCTTTCATACACATGGGATCACAAGAGCGGGGGACTGGGAGAAAGGGCTGGCCTACATACTCATAACACAGCTGCATCTTATTTATCTCTGTTATCACTGCCCTGAGACACTGTAAAGGGCGGGATACAACCATTTAAAAGAAACAAACAAACTTAAGAACATAAGGCTACTTTGGGGCAAGGCAGTAGTAGTTCAGAGATGTGAATAGTTCAGCACAGCTCTTCACATGCACATCTTGAAATCAGCAAGATTGGAACTGCAAAAAGGCATTCTTTCATTTAATAAAAGCAATTAACAATTTGTGGCCCTCACAGTTGTGAACACAAGACATTTCTGAAGAAGACTCAGGGCCAAAGCACGCCTAAGCAGGCCTTCTCGCAGGGGGTATCTGGAGGTATTTTCACACTCCTCTAGTCTTCCCTAGGCCCTCTTTCATGGATCCCCGCCAAAAAACCCTTGAGCCACCCATTTCCTTGTTCAAAATGGTAAGTTTTGAGGCCTGAATGTCTCTATCACTGTGGCATCCTGCCCGTTCTCCAGAAGACCCGAGCATGTGTCAGGTACACTGTGGGCTGTTCCATGAACAATGCACTGCATGGCTAATTTGCACAGCGGTTGCCCTGCCATGAGAACTCATCCAGTTAAGTTTTCCTTGTCCGAATTCAAGCCTCCCCATTCCAAGCCTGACTTTCTCTCTGCTGATCCGCACCATTAACAGCATATTATAGGGATGTGAAATCTCAGAAATGGGGACCAAATCCAGCACCTTTCCACCCAAGTGATCCTTTGGTAGTTTCCTGGCATATCTGCATATTTTATTTCCCATTCATCCACCTAAGGCTTAGTTACCAGCAGTAAGAGCTTTAAGTGAAAATAGGCTGGCATTTGCCCCATTCGTCTTTGGCTCCACTCACCCTGGAATGCACCCCCACCATTTCTCTGAAACTGAATTCAGTCCTTGGGCCGAAAGAGGTCCCTTACTCCTTCTGTATTCCAACTGCAACTTCCGAAACAAGTAACTCGCTTGTTTAATTTGGGAGGGATTTGGTTAGTCAATAAAAAACTCCACATACCAGCATCCCTAAAGAAATAGCAGAGGAGGAGAGAAGGAAACAGAACTTCCATTTCTGACTCATTACTCAATTGTTCAAGAGAGTTTAGTTCATGACCCCTCAGCAGAGGAAAATCACTCCACAGTTCAATAGCAGAGCACTCTCAGAAAGACTGATTACAACCTATGAACCCCCTGCTGGGTCCCGACCCACTTCTGCAAATCCCCCCCTCCACCAAAAGGAAGCAAAGTCAAGGACAGCTTCAGAGTGGAAACAGGGAATGGTGCTTGTAAACAGGATAACAGGAGGGTCTGGGAAGAGCAGGCAGAAGTAAACTACCTTCCCCTCCCCTTGGAATAGCACATATCACCATTAATGGATGCGGCTGGACAGAAGCTTCACAAGGGGCTTGGCTTGGAACAATCCCACTGAACGACCCACTGAGTCCTAACCCACTTTCAGCAACTGGCCTGGGATTGGCTTAGCAACTTCCGGTTCCCAGCAACAAGCAGGAGCGCAGAGGGGTGACAGATTTCACAAATTGGTGTTTTGTGAAGAATTGGTAATTTCACAGTGCCCACATCCCCCAAGCCCACATCTTTTCATGATTCACTAATTAAGTGATTTCAGAGGACTAGGAGAAATACATGGATCAACGAGGCTCAGGAAAAGAAAGAAAAGCAGTGACTTCTTTGGCCTTCTTTGGCCTCCTTACCCCTCATGGTGGACACCATGACCTTCTGAGAGGGAAATTTGTTTCTAGTGGGGTTGTCTGCTACATGACAGATCTTTAATCAAATTGCAACGTTTCATATGCAGGAGGTAAAAAGCCAACTCAAGTTTCTAGTGCTCATGGCTGCAGCAAAAAGTGTAGGAGGCTTGAATGGGAAAGAAACAGGAAGCTATGGGTGTTAGACTAAGCTTGCCATGCCCCCATGACCACAAACCCATCACTGAGAAGTTCAGACTTTCTTCTTCCTCCCATTTAGAAGCTGCTCTGAAGCTTGCAGCTTGATTGCAGTGGCACTTCTGCTCCATCCTAGGATCCAAGGGATGCAACTAAATCTGCTTATTTCCTAGACTCAGTATCTAGGTCCTGGTCCAGCTCTGGCTGTGCAGCTCTTGCTCAGGGACGAATCCAAGTTTGATGGTGCAGATCACAAAGGGGCTCCTGGCATGGGCCCGTATGGGCTGACCTCATGGTGACAGCAGCCGCAACACTGACCATCGACAGGCAGCTGCCACCATGCAAACTTTCTGCAATGCCCTGGAAGAACACTTCTTCGGGGGTACTGGGGGAAAATTGACGGTGCCACCAGAATAAAGGTGGTCCCAGATGAGCGTCGGTGCTGGGCACTGCGGGGGAGCCGGGTTCTTGGCACCTGCTCAAGGGTGCCATGTGCTGATACTAACTCGCCATTGGCCATCCATTTCCCCAACTGCTATCGCTGCCTCCAAAGCTCAGTTTCCACAAGAATCCAGTATTTTGCATAACACTCCCTTTCTTTCCATAGGCACACACACGTGTGTATATTCAAACCAAGAATATTTTCCACCAATTCAATTCTGACCACCGTCCCTAGAGGAGGAAAATATCCCCCTGCCCCCATCAAGTTCTGTCATCACCTGGCTGCCGAGGAAGCGAAAGGAAGTGACTGACATTCTGCCGTGAGGCTCTTGCTGGCAAGGATGTGCTCAAAAATGCAATTAATAGCAAGCCACGCTCGGCAGGATTGAGGTGAAATTGCAGGGCAGCAGCATAATGCTACAGCCATTGCTTTGCTGTCAGAAGACGTTCAGTACTGCACAGAGGCACCAGCCTGTGTGTGTTGGATGCTGCAGCACACATTGTGCTTCTGCAATCCAGGGACTTAGTCCATCAAGCACTGCGGCTGCCTAGTCCCTTGTTTCTCTTTCAGGACCTTTCTCCCTCCCCTTCAGGAGGGGTGGAAGGACCTGATTCTGGAAAACAGGCAGATCAGAAAGGAGCTCATATCTCTATTAGCAACCACTTGTGAGCCCTAATCAGAAATTATCTTGGAAGCACCAAAGAAGGGAGGGCAAAGCAGAAGAGGCTAGTTTTAATAAATAACGACAACTAGTGGGGGAAATAAAAGCTCACCCTTTCCTTAAGGTGCTGCAACATAAAGGGTGTGCTTGCAAAGGGGGTGGGAGAGAGGGCTGATTAAGAGATGCGGGCATGTTAGGATGAGCTGAGCACAAAATTGCACAATGCACAACAGTTACAGAAGGAAATGCAGAACGAGATCTTAGATGAAAGCCACAGGACATACAAAAGCATGGAACACCTTGGTGTTTTCAGCCTGTTTCAGATCAGCACCAAAAGAAAGGCGGCATGGATCTGGCAGAACTCCAAGAACAGGTCAAGTTCTCAAGGCCAGTTTCCCAGAGAGCAACACAGGAAGGAATTGCACTAATTTGCAAAGGTTTACATCCCTGTAGTCCCTGAGCCACCACCGACTGAACCATGTCCCGAAAGCAGAAAGCAGGATGTGCACCCCAAGCTCTTCTCAAATCTCCAGGTATGCTCTTTAGGCAGAGCAGTACCCCTTTTTTCACCATCACCCTGGAATATGAACCCACATATTGTCAAGCCTCTTGAGTGCCTCTCTGGCCTACACCCTGTTGCTCTATAAAAGGCTGAAGCACAATGCAGGCAAAAAAAACCTGAAACCTTACACATTTAAGCATTCTTTCGATGGTTTGATGCTCTGATAACTATTCATTCTTCTGCTGCTATGTTTTATAGGTGTTCCATATTAGAGAGGTGTTGTTTGGGTTCTCATTCATTTTAAACTTAGATTAAACATATTATTTTCAAGAACTATAAGCTGATAATTCACTTAAGGGAAAACAAGTTACAAATTGATTAGGGGTATAATGCTATGCATCTTCAGACAGAAAAATATCCTACAACTCTCAACCTTCCATGGCTGGCTGGAAAATACTGGGAACCGTAAGACCTTGTCCAGTCTAAACTTTCATAAGAATTCATGCAAGTGTCTATGTCCACCTTTACAGGTCATCTGGAATAGTGTTCCTATAAACCTCTGAATACCGGCTGCGAAGGACTGTCTATGGGAAAAGCTCTCCCTTTGTGTGGTGTGTGCAGCATGCAGGCTTGACAGGACGGGGTAGAGGATGCCGAACTAGATGACTGGATTGTCTGATCCAGTGGATTCTTCTGATGTGGGTTAAAAAGAGAGCATGTTGCTAAGTCACTATGTCAGCCAGTGCCCCATTTCACTCAGAATATAATCTGAAGGAAAATGATGACGTCTTCCTGTAGAAGCTAAACAGGGAGAGGTACCCAAATGGTAGACAGCCTGGCTGGGATGCTGTGAGTTGTTGGCTGCTATACAGGGGAAGGAGGAGGAACAGAATATAAGGATAATTAGTTAAATTTGATTGGCTCCATGAGGTTGTGAGGAAGGCGAGGTTGCAGAAAGACACAGACAGTAAAGCACTTGGACATTTGAAGAGTATTATTTAGATGGCTACCACCAACTTAGCGTACAAGAATTAGACACTCAATGGACAGGAATGAGCTGGGAAAATCTGTTGCCTGCTACCAAAAAGGCACAAACTGCTTGAAAATACTGCTCTCCCATCTTACCTGATATTCACTCCAGTCAATATTCAATGGCTGCGTAAGTGAAACTGGGATGCTGAGAGGAGCATCTACATAATCCTGCAAATAAACAGGTACAAGTTGTCACTGGTAAAATGGTGTGAAGAAGCTAGACTTTTGATGTCCTAGAAAAAGAACTGAGGATTTTAGTCTTGTGTTCCTCCCCCGCAATCCATGCCTTTCAGCTGAGCCCTCTGTCAACTGCTGTTTGGAGGTGCCAAAGAACACACCAAATATCCACTTCCATTAGCAGCAGAGTCATCTTCCATCTTCCCCACTGACACCTCAGTGCCTCTTCCTGGCACTGAATTTTCTAAGCAACTGGTGGTTAATGGGGAGCATCAAAGTTGCAGAAGAAAACAAAGGACTATGGCAGGAGCCTCAGACCCACAGGCACACCAGGGATGTGAGGAACTGTGGGTTCCTCTAAAGGGTATGAGGCTAGTCACACAATGGCTGTGTGACCTGAGGAGGAGAGGAAGAAAGAATGAGGCTAGAGACTGGGAGGAAGGGGAGAATAGGAAGGCAGAGATACAGAGGGGCAAGAAAAGTAGCAAGGCTGAGGCTGGAAGGAAGGAGAAACTGCCAGAGAAAAAGATGAGAAGAGAAATGGCGAAACTAGAGGCTGGGAGAGAAGGGAAAAGAGGAAGGGAAAAGAGGAGAGTAGAGGAAAGGAGCAAGAAGAGAAGGAAACTACCCTGCAGCTAAACTTTTTTTGAAAGGGGCATGGAATGGGTACCACATTGGAGATCCCTAAAGCATCCATTCATTTGCCAGATGTTGAAAGTACAGATTCCATGCCTATCAGAAGGGAAGGAAGGTCTTTCGATGCAGAGGGCATTGTGCCCAGACCTGGGAACGCAGGTGTCCTGGCCCAGAAAGTCCATGTTATTTGTTAGGTTAACATTGCTGTTTGCCCCACTCACAAGAGGTTCAGGAATCTGCAGTGCCCCCATGCACTGGCTCTGCCCTTCTCCTCCCCCATCTATAATCCTGAAATCTTTTTTGAGAAATCCCACTGGAAATTTACAGCCTGCAGACTTTTCTCTCCTGTGCCTTCCTCAGAAAAGCACGCATGTTGACAGGGGCATCCACATACAAGCCCCCCTGCTCAAAATCGCTTTCCCATGCACACTTCATTGCTCGTCCCCATACCTGCTTCCAGTTAAAAACAAGCCCTTCTGCTGTGTAGTCTCGCTCTTTGTACTCCTTGAAAAATTCACAGCCTGTGTGAAGAGGAAAAGGGGAGGAGACAAAGAGAACACCTGGATGAGTGTCTGCACAGGCAGTGCCAAGCTGGATTGAACTCCCACCACCCACTCCGGGGAAGAGGGGACCCTCCATCTCTGCCCTGGCAATCAGAGAGCCCAGAACATGTCAAGAGCCAGAGCTGGGCTGTCATTAAGAGTAAGAGCAGCAGGCAGCCCAATCTGCAGTGACAGCTCCCTCTGGCCATGAGGCTCCAAGGAGCCTGGGAGCAGGCAAGCTATGACGGGCAGCTCTCACGCAATGACAGACAAGGCTTGCCACCCAAAGCCCACACCAGCCGGGTGCTTCAAGGCCAGTGTCCTCAGCAGTGCCCCAGAGAGCGCATTCCATGGTTCGGTGCCCATCTCTCCTGGCTGCCAGCACCCATCCCCAAACCGCTAGAGAAGAGGGAGAGGCCCTGCGGCAGGGTTCATGGGCAGGGGCAGGACATGCCAGTGGAAGTCCGCAATTCCCCCGGTGGCCTGGTTCAACCGGCAACTGAGGAGGGAGGAGTGTGGCTGCAAATGTGATTTGGAGCACATTAGTTCCCCAGCCCATGCCTCAAAGTATGTGCTCCCAGCCTATTTTACTCATTCAACCAACTCAGCCATATGAAAATGCCTCTGAACAAGGAAGCCCGAGTCCACACTTGAGTGTTTTGTTGTGAAAGGCTGGCCGATGTTTAAAGTGGTCTCTCTGGATACGAGAGGAAGAGGCAGGAGGAGGTTTCTTTCAGCCATATGCAAGGAATTTGAAGTATTATGCCTCAATCTCTCAGCAACAGCCATGCCAGACAAGGAAGCAAGAGCACACGTGACCAAGGGACATGGGGCCGGGCGGGGGGGGCAAGTTCCACCAGCCCTGCTGAAGACGTCCCTCTATTGTCCCCAGCAGTAGCCACTCCGGCAGGCTAGACTTGGGGAGATGAAAGGGAAAAGCAGGGCCATTTCATGTGTTCTCGGAAAGACCTGATCTTCCCTAGCCCTTGTTCCTTATGTCTTGAGTCTTTTTATAATGTAAGCCCCCAGGCAGAGACAATCTTATTTCACTAATTATATGTAAGCCGCTCCAGGAGCCTTTCTGGTGGGGAGTAGGATAAAAAAACTTAGCATAATAAATGTTTACAGAATCATGCCATTTTGATGCAAAATGGATTCCTTCACATATAAAGACACACAAGGTCTGATTTGGCTTGGAAAGGGAGGAAAGCATGCAACTTGTGACTACTTTGCACTTTCAAAGTCATGTTCTGGAAGTGGAAATTCACCCATGGGTTGATGCAACTGGAAGAGGAACACTCCCACTGGGGGCTCCATCCATTAGAAGATGCTGAATACTGATGTGCTCATTTCCCCATGTAATGCCTCTCTCAGATCGTCGCATAATGCTTCAAGACTTCATGGAGTTTCCAGGCCCCCCTATGCCACCCAGGGCTTCCTCAGGGCCCTGCTGGCTTGGCTGCATTTTGATGCAGCACAGCAGGGTTTGCAAATAGCGAGGAGGGGAGAAACCAAGTTCCGGGATGGCAGGTAGGCAGCGATGCCAAATCCAATGGAGCATCCAGGTGCAGCTAGACATTACTGCAGCATGCAGCTCCAGTCTTTGGCATCATCCGCTCCTGATGTAATGTCAACTGTGGTCTCACGTGGAAAGAGGGAAGAGGGCAGCAGGGCTCTTAGACCAAGGAGAAGCTACTGTCAGAGGCAGTCACTCGTCTTTTGAATGAGGGAAATTATCTTTTAAGAGTACATTCTCTCCGCACAGAAAAGGACAAAGGAGCTTTTTGATCAGGAAAGAAGTACTAACCCCTGTCTCTGATGAAGACTATATTCTCCTCCAGCTTTTCCCAACCTGATGCTCTCCTGATGGCCTACAATTCCCAGCAACCTGGAAAGCTGTTGTACAAAAATTAACTCAGCATAAGAAGAAGATGGAGTGTACCTCCTTGATTTAACTGGGGGGGGGGGAGCCTTGCTTTCCCCCCCAAATGAAAGGCTGTCACCCTTTCATCACACTGACAGCCAGCTTGTAGCTATTCTGCTCCCTCCCCATTACACATACCCAGCTGCAGGTTGCTGCCTGTCCCTCAGAACATTCCCTCTGTACCTGGGTATGGGATGGAGAGGAGTGTGAATTCGGCATAGCGCTGTGCTTTATCCACCTTCTCAGAAGATGTCACACTGAAGAAGACACAGAAACACACTAGATGGGTGTTAAGTCATTTGGCCCAAGGTCCTCTCTCCCCCCCCCCACAACAGAATCCCTGATGTCCATCAATGGATTGTAAAACTACAGAGCAAGGCTGCATATTCAGATGTTTTCTCAGCTGAGGCATATATGAGTCAGTGCATTTAGTTACCCCAAGTTTGCTTGTGTCCTTAATCAAATCCGTTTCTCATACTTCTGAGATTGCGGATGGGTGGGGTGGGGTACAGAAATGGTGCCACAATCCAAGAATTCAGGTGAGTTGAACTTTTAGGTTCACACAGTTACTAGGTAGGATAGATTCTGCCAGTGTTTGGAAGAGATTGCCAAAAAACTCTTCCTAACTAGGCAACATCCTTTCAGTACTGAGTTAAAGCCAATCAATTATGCCACATAATCTGGGGTTATATTTTTCATGCTCCTTCACTTCACAATACTGCATGGAGTAAGCCAGCATGTAAGACAAATGTTTAGTATACCTTTCTCCCTGATGTTCTATTTTTCCAACATGCAGGGAACATTTTACACAAGGAAGCCTTGAAGAAACATCACTTTTGTAATCTGAAGTGGTACAATCCAGAATTCTAAGACCTCATCTCTATGTGATATGCAGGATGGCTCTAGGTTCTCTGCACTCTTGTTTCAGAGGCTCTGTGCTGGTATAAGCCCAAACCCAAGCCAGCCCCATTCCTCTCTTCCCAGGGACCTTCCTGAGGGGCCAGTAACAGGCTAGAAAAGTAAAGCAGGAAGAGGCTGACTAATCCTAGGAACTGTTACTCTCCAAGAGTTATTAGAACAACCTGGTTGCTACATCTCAAATATATTCCTTTTTTTAAAAAGATGATGTTTGATATATTTATCTCCCACCCATCTTCCACAGAGTTCAGAGCAACATACAAGGCCCCTTCCAGCTTTATTCCTCTCAACATCTTGGTGAGGGAGGTCAGGGTGAGTTGCTCAAGGTTGCACAGTCATATGGGGGAGGAGGGATTTGAACATGGCTGCATCACTGGCTGAAGTGCAATACTTTAACTCAGTCTTCCCCAACTTAGCTCCCTCCAGATGCTTTAATTCCCACCAGTCCCAGCCTGCATGGCCAATGGTCAGCAATGCCGCAAGGTTGTAGTCCACAACATCGGGAAGGCACAAGCTTGAAGAAGGCTGTTCTATCCATTTTACCACTCGTGCTCTCAGTAGCATTCTCTGACTTGAAAAGCTGCCCAAAACTTCCCTGCAGCCAAATGGAGTGCACAAAAATACAAAGACATTGATACTCACTTCAGGCCAAACTTTACTTTCTTATTCTCCACCATCAAGTCACAGATGTACGTAACTGACAAATATCGCAAGAGCTTGATGTCATAACCCCGGACCTTGTCAAACAGCTGCGAATCGGCATTTCTGAAATGCAGGACAAGATGACAGTGCTTTCCCCAAGGAAGCCATGTGAAAAGTTCCATGAAGAAGAATCAAAGATACAAGTGCATTCTACATATCAAAACAACCTCCCAGTCCCATGGAGCAGTCTAACACTCTGCAAGGACTAAGGCAGAGGACCTGACCAACCAGGAGGCACCATTCATTTGAATGAAAGTTTCCCAATAGGTCCCAGATGAGGAATAAAAGTATCTACAGAGCACCCCAGGAAAAGAAGTCCATTACAAGAAGCTCCATGTGAGCCAATAACTGAAGCACGCAGATAAAAACTGCTGCGCTGACGATTTAAACTGGTCACCCCCAACTCATCCCCTATTCTGGAGATAATTTTGTAGGTATTGTGGAACTACAACTTCACACTGTAATAGGCTGTCTCAGAAGGGAAGCCAAGCCCGGCTAGTTAAACTAGCATGCTTAAAATGCACTGTAGTGGCCAGAAAGCAGAGAGTAAACAAACTCTTTGGGAAGGATTTTAGTAGGCCTAGATCACCAGGAATAATCAGACAGCTACAAATAGCTTTTAACATTGAAGCACTGTGGGAACCATTCTGGCTGAAGAATGGGATATGAATACTATAATTAATTTTTTAAAACTAAGTAATTTGGGGGCTTTATATCTGCCAATATGATTTTTTTAAGAAGTCAAAGTTGGAACTGTGCTTTTGACCATAATGGTATTATTTTTGTTGAAGTTTGCAAAACATTTTATTCTTGACATTTTAATGTTAGAATTGAAGTGATGTTTAGGATAGGATTGTTGTTTTTCATGTGTTGTTGATTTGATTGAGTATCCCCATATAGAACACCAGCTTATAAATTCTTCAATTTAAAATACACACACACAAAAGCAAAGAGTACATTACCAGCAAGACTGGAGGACTTACAATGCTGGTTCACCTTCCACAAGAATCTTGCATCTGGGGTGGCCACCCAACCCAAGTGTTCTGGGAGCTTAAGTTGCCCTTCCCAATAAAATAACCTTGGTCAGTTTGGCCAGTCACACACAGGATACTGGCCACTGCTTCACTCACACATGACAGCCAGATGCTTTCGCACCCAGGCTCCTACACCTTTAACAGTATCACCAGAATAGAAAGAAATTCAGAATGCACAGCTTTTTCAGAAGCCGTAATTCCACACTGGCAAAAGATGGCACCTCTTACATTTTTCCTTGCCATGCCAGCTGAGCGAAGACATGTTCTGGAAAGGAATTACAATTTGGCCGCATTCATCTATGTAGGAGAATCACAGACCTGAAGGCAGAGTCCTCTTCTGACAGGTCTTCTGAATCTGCCCAGGCATCATCTGAACCCCCTTGCAGAGAAGCCACCAAAGGAGGGGGAGAGAGATAAAGACAGCATGTTAGCAGACGCAGCCCCTGCTGTAACCAGTCTGACCCCAAGCCCCAAGCCAGGAGCCAGTGGCAGCAAGTTCCTTTGCCACTTTGAGGACTGAAGCACTTGTCCTGGTCAGCCCCCCTGTTCATTTGTTCAATAACATTGATCAGCCATGGTTTTAGCTGCATAATTACCTTTTAAATATTTTAATTTTTTATTTAGAGCCTTTTTTTCCTTTTTGTCATTCAATGCTTAAGAATTTTAGTGGATATAGTTATGAATGAATGAATGAATGAATGAATGAATGCTATAACTCCAAAGAGACTGACTTTGGTGATTGAGTTGTAGCAGATCTTCAAGCCTGTCCCACAGAAGCCAAATTCTTAAGTCCTCACAAACTGGAGCAATATCCATGGAATCAACTGATACCTGTACCTAGCAAGGGAACAGCTTCATTTCCACGCCTCATTTTACTGATGGGGAATGACAGCAGAGACAATGACCGGCTTTGCACAATCATGAAGGGTGAAATAAACCACAGTGGCCCCCGCCCCTGCAGAACATGCCAGTTGAGTGCTGGGAGATTGGCATAATTACTCGTGCCAGTAATGCTTGCCAGGGCATATGAAACTGGCAAGGGTGGCTTGTTGCTGTGCTTAATAAACCATCTAGAACCCATAGGCTGTTTTAGTGTTCTGAGACAGCTTGTCAACCAATAAGCCACACTCAAAGGATTTGATTATACATATCCCCCCAGTGGGTGCAATGCAAGATGCAAACCACTGTGGCCTATTTCCTCCCCCATGATCATAAGTAAGTTGTTCTAAGAACATGTAATGAACTCGCAGTGGTAAGATCCTTGTCCTAGTGTCACAGGCCCATTGGGTCATTTTAGACTCTAAGTATCTATTACACTTTTAGGCACAATACAAAACTTTAATCTACTCCAAATGTTGATAGCCAACATATTCAGTGAATAAAGGAATGAATTCATGCTGCTTCCCATACAGAAAAACAAGAGATGCTTCTTCAAGTCCTCAGTCAGGACTGTATACATTCTAATGTCCAAGTGCAAACATTGCTGTACTCTATAACACCGAGAGTTTCAGTCTTTTTTAAAGAATAGCAAATTGCTAGAACTCACAGTCAGTATGGGTAATCAAAAATTAGAGATCCTGTCAGTGTACATACATTTCAGTAACCAACATAGCTCACTGGCCTTCCCCATAGCTAACTGGGGAACATGTCTAATTTTCTACAGATTCCAAGCCAGAAGTCTGGAGGGGGGTGAACAATGTGGTTTCCTTCATGTGCAAGTGCCTGCCTGTTTGATGCACAGGGACTACACACATATGGCCAAAAGTTCAAAAGGGCCGAGGCAGCCGCACTGCTCATCTACCTTCAGCATGAGCTGAGATCTCCTGGTTGCTGGAAATATCTTATGGAGCTCATGCCAGTGCTGAAGGAAGCACTTGCTTGGGAAGGACTTGAGCAGTCCCATAAGGAAGAACCACAAACTGTTACCACTGATGCCCGAGACAATTTCATTCTCAAATCAGGCACAGATCTAAGTTGCATAACTCAGGCTTTGTAAATTTAGGATAATTTACTATTCTGCCAACAGCAGAGTTTACCAGGTTTGGTTCTCCAGGCTACAAAACCTTGACTCACATATGGAAAATTCTGTCCCCACGTAGAGCTCTGCTCTGCACATGATGCTAATCCTCAGGAAAGCTCCCCTCCCTTCAGCTAACGTTATAAGAAAAGTAAAGCATCACAACACCCTCCAAACCTTCCTTTACCTGAGAAAATGTAGTTGTATCCCGTGCGCCCATAAAGTTCCCCCCACCCCGCCAGGGTGGCTGATCGGCATATATGCTGGAAAGAAAGAGATGGAGAAAGAAAGAAAGAATGTCCATCAGAACACAGAGAAGCAATGGACCCTGTTCCTCTTCAGGGCCTTCCCCACCACAAATCAAACAGTGGCTTGGTGCTTTGGGCTTGCACAATCCTTGCAGATGTTTGCATGGTTTACAGATCAGGTTTCATTACCTCCCAATCACTGCACTAAGCCTTAAGCTACATTTTCCTACTTTCTCGCCTCTCTCCCCCACAGCCTCCAACTTCCACTTTGCATCATTATTGTAATTCCTTTATAACTAATACCAACTTTGCATTTCATTAGCATGCTCTCTGAACCTTCTTTTCCCAAACCCTTAATGAAGAGGATTAGCAGGATCCTCCTCCATTATTCACCTATTTTGCACTTCCAGTCTTCAACTTCTGCAGCAGAGCTGAAATAAGTGTCAAAGTTACAGAACAGCTAATCTCCTTTGTTGGACCAGCCTCAGTCCGCACAGGTGTATATCCCTGTTAGATGGAAACTTCAGGTGCTATCAGGAAGGAATGAAGAAAGACTGCCAAGCAACTCTTGTGGCCACTTTTCAGAAATTTCTGGATATGTATGAAGCTGCCTGCTGATAAACCCAATAAAAACTAGCATTTTATGCCTGCAAAGAGAAAAGCAGTCCATGAAAGATGCAAGACACACACAGCTTTACCTTTCCCTTGTAGAGGATGACGGGGCAAACAAACCGCCCTCTGCACCTGGCCATCTTACTGCGGTGAATGAGGTCTTGCAACTTGCCAACTTGGACTGTGCTCTCAAATCTAATGGAGGCAAACCAGTAGGTTATTTGCATGAGCACCCATCTGTGGAAGGTTGTTTTCTGCAAATTCCTATTCCGACATGCATCCAATGGACAATCAATCCTCAGTAGCCTGGCAGCTTCTCTCATTTTATTTTGGGAGGCCAGTAGCCCATGAACATGGAAGGGGGATGTGCTTTCCAAGACAAGGTTCATTTTTGCCAGCAATATGGCTGCAAAAGATGCACTATACCTGTCACTGGATTCTTGCTGAAAAGGTTCAGTCTGCAGTAGAGGTTATACAAGAATGAAATTTAGCAGGTTTTGAGTCCAGATTAGCTAAACATACTAAACAAATCTTAAAACTGTCTCCCTCTAAACACTCACATAGGCATACCCCCATCCTGCTTTTCTTCTTGGGTGGCATAGTTTGCTCATCCTCCATTTTATTCTTCCAACATCCTTGCATACCCCCATCCTGCTTTTCTTCTTGGGTGGCATAGTTTGCTCATCCTCCATTTTATTCTTCCAACATCCTTGCAAAGTAAATTAGGCACAGGGACTGCAACAGTTCCAAGGCTGCCTGGAAAGCTCACCCAAGCACTCCCAAGTTTGTGAGTACCACACCACACTGCCTCTTGAAGTCATATTAGGAGATGACTTGTAATATATTCAGTTTGCCAAATATCCACACTGAGAGATAAAAGAAAAATCTATGACTGTAGGAGTGAATTATTTAGTGCAAAATTTGGTGTAAAAATAATGGCTGGTCTCCAGAAGAGGGAGACAAGAATACATACAGCTGTTCACAATACATTCAGCTCTAGCCTCCCCAAACCAGGTGTCCTCTAGATATGTTGAACAGCAGTTCCTATCATTCTCAGCCATGCTGCCTAGAAATTTCAGCAGCTTCAGTTCAGCACATCTGAAAAGCGCCAATTTGGAAGAAATTGTTCTACCCCACTGAACTCTGAACTTTTTGGCTGGATACTCTTTGGTTTAAGAACTGTCACTGAAGAAGGGTTGTGACCCAGTGGGTAGAAAGCACAGTCAATCTGAAATAGCACCCCACACCTAGAGAGTCAAGGCTCTTTCCAGCTACTGGCTGGAAAACTGCTCTCCCCTTTAACTCCTAGGTGCCTGTATAGGTGAGGGCCTGCTAGGTTTCTATGCCTATATAGTGAGGACATGCTCAGGTTACCAAGCAACCATCTGGAATAGGGTGGAGAATCTCAGGCCCAAGGGGCCACATCTGTCCCTCAGTGGTTTGCCAGATGGCCCCTAGTTTGGTGGCTTCCTCCTTTTGTGCAGTTTTTCTTCCTCCGAAAAGGCTGAAATCTCTGCCCTAAGGTTAGTTACTGGCAGTAAGAATGTTAAACTGCAATATGCTGGTATTTTAGGTATTTCTGGCCAAATTCCTTTTGTCTTCAGCCCCACAACTGGAATGCAGGCCCTACGAGTCTCTCCAAGATTGAATTTGGCCTTGGACTTAAAATGTCTCTCCAATTTAGAGACACAATTTGTAATGTGAGGAGATTACACCTCACATTACAAGTGTGCGTTCTCTAGCTGTGATGCCTAGAAAATTGCCTTGCAAATGAACAGTGAACCTCGGGAATCCCCCAAAATACACATCTAAGCCTGACACAGATGTGAAATCCAACTGTTCAGAGAAGCCCCACAGCATGTGGTAAGATCGCATGCAGAAAGAGACTCAAACCAGCCAAAGTGTCAAGACAAGCAGGTGGCTGCATAAGCAGGCAGGTTATTTACATAGGGTAATGGGGGTGATGCACAAGGAATTCTGGTTATCGTTGCTGCTCCAATGGATCAGATAACCCTTGGATTTAGAACTGTGTAATAAAAATCATAACAAATTACATACAGATCTGCATACATTGTTTTGCTTCCACTATGCAGCCAGGGGGAAGAGGGGGAGATCTTCTCTGTATAGGCACAGACTTGTGAAATAAACAGAAAAAAAATCTGTTCTGCACTGAGCAACTGATAGCCAAAGTAAATATGTTTATCCTTCTCTCCCACCTTCCACCCAGTAAGATGCCTTCAGCCAATTCAATAATAGCCTGCCGAAAAGAAGCATGGGGGGAAGAAATAAAAAGGAAGAGAAAATGGGGAAGGACCAGAGGAGTGTGGGGAAATTACTGGGGGAAAAAACAGCAAAAACCAACCAACCAACCAACAAACCTCATGCATGGCAGGGCTCACAGGGCAAAGCATGTCACATAACCTATCTCATTTGTTACAATTTTGCCTGCTCTGTCGGCTCCAGGTTGAGCATTTGCTTCTCTATGGATCTAGTGCTTATTCAGAGAACAGTGACATGCAAGAGACAGAGGGATAAATACCTGAGTACAGAAAAATAAATACACATGTGACCAACCCTGCAGCACCATGACTGTTTAACATGCTTCACATACATCGGACTTCCCTAAGCTGGTCCCCTCCAGATATGTTGGACTGTAATTCCCTAGAACTGCTGTTTAGGACATCTGGAGGGAACCAGGTTGTGGAAGGGTGACATATATGGTCACAGTTGCCCTTATTCAAGGTCACCAAAGAAATGATAACATTTTTTACCCATTAAATCAACCAAAGAAAAATTAAAAAATCCAGAAAGTACTGGAAAATTTAAACAGGAGATTACCATATCAGTAAGGATGCAATTCTATGGGCTGAACCCCCAATAGACAGAGGCAAGTGGAGGACAGGGGTGATTTTGCCTCTGTTCCAAATTTTAAAAGCAGCAAGATGGGCCTCTGAACTCTTCTAGCTGAGTATGTTTTGGTGGCTGGGTGGAGAGGCAACGGGAAAAGTCACAGAATACTGAGCAGCTCAGATTCTCTTCCTCCTCCCCCCACCACATCCCCTTCTCTTCCTCTCCAACTTCTCTTATCAGTCCCAAATCAGTTCTGCTTCTCTACACTTGCAGTTCCGTCTAATGGTCCAGATGAGGCAACTGGAGGCTTCCTATGGTGCCCCAGACACTGTCTAGGGGCCACAGAATTGTTTTTCTTGATAATTTATAAAAAACAGCTAAAACTTAAATACAAATATAGGGTAACATATGTATAATATTAAAACTCACAATAATACACAGAGTATATTAATGTCAGATAAAACATAGAATCCTGTTAAAAATGCTGGTGCTTAGGCAGTGAGGTTGCCTAAACTGTACAATGTTTCAATGAAGAAATAACTAAGCTGGACTGGTTGAAACCATTACTTCAATTAGCGTAAAAAGTCAGTATAGTTCCCTTACAGCCAGGCCTTCAATATTAACCTAATTATTTGACAACACGAGATTTTCAATTTAAAAACAAAACAAAATCTGATTTTTAAACCTTTTTTTTTTTTTAAACTAACCTTACAAGCCTATCTTCCTTGGAAAGGCAACCTGGGAGCCATAGGAGGTGTCAGCTCTCTCCCTCCAAGGGCAGACCTCAGAACTTCCCCAATCGGCTGCCACAGAAATCCCCCAAGGTGGTTTCTTCTCGGACTTCCTAAAGGAGTAAGGGAGGTCTGCCTGTCCTCCCAGGCCCCAGCCATGCACCCAAACCATGCAGACCTACAGCAGCCCTGGTGCCAGCACAGATCCATTCCATCACGCTGGTTTCAATGGAGTAGATTGCAGAATAAGCTTTGCAAAGCAGCCATGGATAGGGGAGAAAACCCAGAATGCAATTCCTTCCTCACTTCCATCCTGCCAACATAAGCCAGGTAGGGATTTTGATTCTTTAGAGTTCAGACAGATGTTGAGGCACTACAAACCTAACAGCAGGACTTCTCTGTTTATGCATTTTTATTCACCCCAGAAGCAGACTTGATCCAGGGAACTTTTCAGTCGCCTTAGCCACTCCAATATTCAACACAGGGTGATTTCTCCCACCCACCACCAACCTACAAACAGTCTCTAATGGCTACATTTTAGGATCTCTAAGCATTACCACAGGCTGTCTATATATTCAGATTTTCCAAACAAATCAGAAACCTTTCTCCAAAAAACAAAGAGGACTCTGATGCATGAATGCAGATATTCTCTGCCTCTTGAGATGTGCCTGATTCAAGATGACTGAACACAGATATTCTGAAAACTAGTGCAGAGGTTCTGTGACAGAGGTTGTATCTGATGTTCAGCTGCTTCTTCCTGAGCTTGCATGTCCCTAGAAGCTCTGTTGGCAGTGGGATTTACACTGCAGTAGGAAGCAAAACAGCCAGTTCTTGCAAAGAGAAACATTTTGTCCTCCATAAAGACATTACCCTAAACATCTCCATTACAGCTGCAACTGAGAATACAGGCACATAGGAACTTGAATGATTATCTGACACCCCACCCCACCCCACCCCACCCCACCCCAAATCCAGGGCTTCTGTGTTTGTAAAATATTTGCATTCTTCCTACACTGGCTAGTGGCCCATTCGGAAGCCTCCAAACTGAGCTACAGAATCTACCAGTTGAAGAAGCTGCCATCTTTGCTCCAAGGCCCAAAGACAAAAAAGATGCTGTCCTTCTCAGAAGTCTGTAAGATGTCTGGCAAAGGAAGAGCCCAAAGTAACAGCAAAGTTAATTTCAGCAATTCAAGTGATATTTCAGATAGGACAGCCTCCTATGCTACTTCACAGGGTCTGTTCCAAAGATAAAAAAAACTCTGAGAGGGGTGAGCAGCAGAGGCCCTGAAGCTGCTCACCAGCAGTTAGTGCCAGGGACACTGGCCACAGGCAGCAGACTTGGCAGGGACACTGGCCACAGGCCTTCCCACTGTGACAGGAAGGATCACACGCTAATTAAATTATAGTAATTCTTTCCAACTTTGCATCCATACAAGAACTCTTCCCTTTTCTGATGGTATATTTCCTCTTTATTATTGACGATAATACATGACCATCATTGTTCCTGAGGATAAGAACAAAAGCAGGAGTATCTAGTTCTAGTCAGGGAGGTGAAGGAGCTCTCAGAAAATAAGAGCACACTGCATACCATTGCTGTACAAAAGAGTGGGGTAC